TGCTGCTGCTGCTGCTGCTGCTGGGGCTGCTGCTGCTGCTGCTGCGGGGGCTGCTGGCGACGATCCTGGCTGCGGCGGCGAGCGGAAGAAGATACTGCCGGCAGCAGCTGCTGCGGGGCGGACAGCAGCAGCAGCAACTGCTGCTGCTGCTGCTGCTGTTGCTGCTGCTGGAGCAGCAGCAGCAGCAGAGGGGCCCTTAAAAAGAGGGAAGGCAGCAGCAAGAGCAGCACTTAAGTCTTCTGAGGCCTCGAGGGCAAACGTCTGTAGGCCAATGGCGCTTCGGCTGCATGAACACTGCAGCAGCAGCAGCAGCAGCAGCAGCAGCAGCAGCAGCAGCAGCACCGGCGTGACGAGCGGCGCTAGCATCAAAAAAAATAAATGCAGCTGCAGCCCGGGCTGCAGCAGCTGCATCTCCAGCAGCAACTGCAGCAGCGAGTACAGCAGCAACTGCAGCAGCAAGTACAGCAGCAGCTGCAGCGGCAACTGCAGCAGCGACCACAGCAGCAACTGCAGCAGGAACTGCTGCGGCAGCTGCAGCAGGAAGTACAGCAGCAACTGCATCAGCAAATGCTGCGGCAACTGCAGCAGATATCACAGCAGCAACTGCAGCAGCAACTGCTGAGGTAACTGCAGCAGCTATCACAGCAGCAACTGCAGCAGCAACTGCTGCGGGAACTGCAGCAGCGGTCATAGCACCAACTGCAGCAGCAGCTGCTGCGGGAACTGCAGCAGCGGCCACAGCAGCAACTGCAGCAGCAGCGGCTGCGGCAGCTGCAGCAGCGATCACAGCAGCGATTGCAGCAGCAGCGGCTGCGGCAACTGCAGCAGCGAACACAGCAGCAACTGAAGCAGCAGCGGCTGCGGCAACTGCAGCAGCGAGTACAGCAGCAACTGCAGCAGCAACTGCTGCGGCAGCTGCAGCAGGAAGTGCAGCAGCAACTGCAGCAGGAAATGCTGCGGCAACTGCAGGAGGAAGTGCAGCAGCAACTGCAGCAGCAACTGCTGCTGCAACTGCAGGAGGAAGCACAGCAGCAACTGCAGCAGCAACTGCTGCGGCAACTGCAGCAGCGAGGACAGCAGCAACTGCAGCGGCAACTGCAGCAGCGAGGACAGCAGCAACTGCAGCAGCAGCACTGCAGCAAAAATTTTACCTGACAACCCTTGGCTGCAGTTGTCGTCTGCTCGGGCTGCACATCCTGCTGCTGCTGCTCTTTTTGCTGCTGCTGCTGCTGCTGCTGTTGCTGCTGCTGCTGCTCTTTTTGCTGCTGCTGCTGCTGCTGCTGCTGCTCCAGTTTTCGGTGGCGGGGAGTAGCGAGGGTCTGCGCAACAGACAGCCGGACTGCTGGCTGCTCATGTGCTGCTGTTGCTGCTGCTGTTGCTGCTGCTGTTGCTGCTGCTGTTGCTGCTGCTGTTGCTGCTGCTGCTGCTGCTGCTGTTGTTGCTGCTGTTTCTGCTGCTGTTGCTGCTGCTGCTCTCGCTTGAAAAGGCAGAAAGACACACTCCCGGGAGTCCCAAGAAGACCCTCCATACGATTTGCTGCTGCCGGATTCTTCCCATCCATTTCCTTGCAATCTTTGCTGCTGCTGCTGCTGCTGCTGCTGCTGCACCAGCAGCACTTGCTGCTGCTGCTGTTGCTGCAGCAGCAGCAACTGCTGCTGCTGCTCCGCAGGCGAGGCAGAACTGCAGCTCGTTCCGTTGCGTGGGTGCTGCTGCTGCTGCTGCTGCTGCCATGCCTGCTGCCACTGCTGCTGCTGCCACGATTGCTGCTGCTGCTGCTGCTGCTGCTGCTGCAAGCTTGGGCTCTCGCTGTTATAGCTAGGGCCCAGGGGCTCCGAGAGCAAGGAACTTGAGAACGGCATAGTCTTTCTGCTGCTGCTGCTGCTGCTTCTGCTGCTGCTGCTGCTGCTGCTTCTGCTGCTGCTGCTGTTGTTGCTGCTACTCGCGGCGCTGCCGCTGCTGCTGCTGCTGCCTTCGTTGGTGCTACTGGTGTGGCTGCTGCAGCTGCTGTGCTGCAGTCCTTGCTGCTGCTGTTGCTGCTGCTGCTCCTGCTGCAGCAATTGCTGTTACTCCCCTCCCTGCTGCTGCTGCTGTGCTGCTGCTGCTGTGCTGCTGCTGCTGCTGCTGCTGCTGCTGCTGCTGCGACGCAACAAGCTCGAGACGGCGGAGGAGAAAGAAGCTTTCTGGGGCAAACCCTAAACCCTTAAGCCCAAACCCTAAACCCTAAACCCTAAACCCTCGATTCTGCACGCAGAAGAAGTGAAGCGCCACTGAAGATGGCGGTCGACGCCAACCCCAACTCCCAAACCCTAAACCCTAAACCCTAAACCCTCGCGGGGGGAAAAGGGCGGCCAGAGCATCTCCACGTGGGTTTTTTCAAAACCCTAAACCCTGAATTCCAAGTCCAAGAAAGTCAAAAACGTAAACCCTACGCCTAAACCCTAAACCCTAAACCCTAAACCCTGCACCGGTTCGGGCTGGCTGGTCCAGACCAGCGCCGTCTCGCGGCAGCAGCAAAAAGCAAAAGGGAAATAAATAATTTAATTTAATTTAATTTAATTTAATTTAATTTAATTTAATTTAAAAAGAAAAATAAAACTTAAATTCATTTCTGCTGCTGCTGCGGCATGCAGCAGCCGCTGCAGCAGCAAATTAAAGAGTTTTAATGCATTTATTTCAATTATTATAATTTATTTTTTCTTTTTTAAATTGAAAATAAAATGAAATCCAAATTTGAGTTTTTCGCGCGCAGACAGCCGCCGCGCCCTCGGGTGTACAGACACCTCAGCTCGCCGCGCACATACACCCCACGCACACGTCCAAACCCTAAACCCTAAACCCTAAACCCTAAACCCTAAACCCTAAACCCTAAACGCTAGAGCCAAGGCTCTGGGCTCGCAGGTCGTAAGCCCTCAACTCCGAAGCCGAAACTCTAAGGCCTAAACCCTCAGCAGCAAACCCTAAACCCTAAACCCTAAACCCTGATTGACGATCTCTTCAGCCAACAGCCAAAACCCTAAACCCTAAACCCTAAACCCTAAACCTCTGCTCTACCGACAGCCCAGTCGTTGCATGCGCTTGCGCCTTTGCAAAAAAAGTCGAGGGTTTGGAGTTAGGGTTTAGGGTTTAGGGTTTGGGATACAGACACAGCATAAAAAAAAGAAAACAGCGTTTTATATTCAAACAACAACGTGAATCTTAAACCCTAAACCCCAAACCCTAAACCCTAAAACACAAACCCTAAACCCTAAACCATCAAACGCGTTGCCAGGAAGCACACCCTGTAGCCCCACCCAAAACCCTCACTAGGGTTTAGGGTTTAGGGTTTAGGGTTTGGCAATGAGGCTTCACTCAGATTCTGTTTTGGGGGCTTCTGCACTCTTTGCCCCCACCTTTACCACATAGTCAATTACATCCTGCACACAAACCCTAAACCCTAAACCCTAAACCCTAAACCCTTGGCCTTGAATGGCCCAGCACACTTCAGGCTCGGCCCAAAACTCAGACCGTAGCTTTAAAGAAACCCTAAGTCCGAAACCCTAAACCCTAATTTAGGGTTTGCGCTCGCCTGAATTGTTTCAAATGAGTCCGCATCTAGGTCAGGAATTACTATGCCGTAGATGTCCTCCGCCTGTGCGCAAACCCTAAATAAGGGTTTAGGGTTTGGGCACTTCTTTGAGGATTCTAGTGACGCCCTCAAAAATTATAACTCCGCAAAAACATAACCCTAAACCCTAAACCCTAAACCCTAAGGCGGACGGAAAGGGTCCATCCCTTTCTCTTTTGGCCTTTCTGCAACTCCCTAAACCCTAAACCCTAGACCCTAAACCCTAAACCCTAAACCCTCACGTCTAGCACGAACTCCACGGTGTCTAAACAATCCCAGGGCCTCTCTTCTTTCGTTTGAAACTCCTCAAACCTCAAATTAGGGTTTACAGTTGTCCCTTCTTTGCAGTACTTGCTGGCCAAGTCCACCAGCTGCCGCGACACCTGCAAACCCCAAACCCTAAACCCTAGCCCCAAACCCTAAACCCTAAACCCTAAACCCTCACCCTCGCTCAGCCCCCAAACCCTAGCCGACGCAGCCCTCTGCAGGACCGCTGCCTCCCCCAAAACCCCCAACCCCAAACCCCAAACCCCAAACCCCAAACCCTAAACCCTAAACCCCAAACCCTAAACCCTAAACCCTAAACCCTACCTCTGTGGGTTCAAACGAAACACTGGAGCTGCTGCTGCTGCTTAAATCTTCACTAGAAAAGGCCCTTTGCCACTCCCGGCGGCTATGGGGCCCCCCAGCAGCAAAAAGGGTCTTTTGGGGGGCCCCCCAGGGCCTTTGGGGGGCCCCCCGGGGGGCCCCCTGCTCCCCTGAGGCCCCCCCGTGGGCCCCCAGGGAGGCCCCCAAGAAATGAAATGAATTGGGGTTTAGGGTTTGAGAGGAAGAGCGAGGGTTTGGAGATGAGGGTTTGGAGTGTATGTACAGGTGGCATGGTGAGGGTTTGGCGGGAGTGGCGGAAATGGAGTTTTAGGGTTTGAATAAATTTAATTATTAATTTAATTATTTATTTTAATTTTAATTTTGTTTTTGTTTTTTATTTGCGGAGAAAAGCGAGCCAGAAACGCCCCGGAACGCGGGCGGAAAGCGCCCGCCCAAGCCCTAAACCCTAAACCCTAAACCCTAAACCCTAAACCCTCGACGCGCGCAGCAGCAGACTGGAGGGAAACCGCCAAACCCTAGAAGAACAAAAGAGTGAAAGAAAACGGAGAGACACAAAAGGGTTTTAAACCCTAACAGCAGCAGCAGCAGCTTCCTGTGGCCAGCAGCAGCAGCAGCAGCAGCAGCAGCGCGGGGCTTTTGCTGCTCGCTTCTTTTCTTATTTTCTTTTTTATTTATTTTTATTTATTTTTATTTATTTTATTTTTAATTAAACCCTTTTTTGTTTTTAATTTTTTAATTTTCTTTCGGGTCCACTTTTTCCCCTCGACAGCTGCCGATCGATGCAGCTATCTGCCAGCCGTAGGGTTTAGGGTTTAGGGTTTAGGGTTTAGGGTTTAGGGTTTAGGGTTTAGGAATTAGGGTTTAGCGTCTAGGGTCTAGGGTTTAGGGTTTAGCGTTTGGAACTGAAGCTCTCTAGCTGCTGGTCCATAACGCCGAGTTGTGCAGAAAGCAAACCCTCAATCCTAAACCCTAAACCCTAAACCCTAAACCCTGAAAGCTAAACAATAAATCCTAAACCCTAAACCCTAAACCCTAATTCAGCACCTAACACCACTTTTAACTGGTAACTGGTTAGTAAAACAAGTAATTTGAAGCTTTTTCTGCACTCGTTTAAGGACCTACGGTTTAGGATCTAGGGTTTAGGGTTTAGGGTTTAGGGTTTAGGGTTTAGGGTTTAGCAAATCGAGTTTGGGAGCTGCAAATGGTATCCCTTTAAAAAATAAAAACAAAAGCTTTTATTTCTTTTTTAATCAAAAAGCAAACAGCAAAAGACAAATAAACCTCCATTCAATTTAAAGTAATTTAATTTAATTTAATTTAATTTAATTTATTTAATTTATTTATTTTTAATTCTATTTATTTTATTTTATTTTATTTTATTTATTTATTTTGATTTCATTTTTTTAATTTAATTTAACTCACAATTCGGCCAAAGCTGTCTACAAGCAGCAGCAGCAGCAGCAGCAGCAGCAGCAGCAGTAAAATCAGCAGCGGCAGCAGCAAAATCGGCAGCAGCAGCAGAGAAGTGAGCATCTGCAGCAACACCCGTCCGATCAGCAGCAGCAGCAGCAGCAGCAGCAGCAGCAGCAGCAGCAGCAACATTGGCAGCAGCAGCAGCAACATGAATTGATTAAATCGGATTAATTTATTTAACTATTTTGAAATCAGCTGGAAAAAAAGCAGCAGCAGCAGCAGCAAAGTCAGCAGCAGCAGCTGCTGCTGCTGACTTTGCTGCTGCTCCTGCTGCTGCTGCTGCTGCTGGCCAAAACCAATAGCAGCAGCTGCTGCTGCTGGTTTTGCTGCTGCTGCTGCTCTCTTGCGCCCGTGCTGCAGTGCGGCCATTTAGATTTTACTTTCATCTTTTTAGATAAATTTAAATAAATGTAATTTAATTTAATTTAATTTATTTTATTTTAATTCAATTTAATTTAATTTAATTTAATTTAATTTAATTTAATTTAATTTAATTTAATTTAATTTCAACTCTTTTTTTTATTTACCACTTGTTCAAACAAGTTATTTTGTTACCAAAATGCAATTCCAACTATTTATTTATTATTTGTTTTTATTTATTTATTTATATATTAGGTAATTAATCGATTAACAATTAATTAATGAATTAATTAATTTATTTATTCTTAATTAATTAATTGTTGATTAGTTAATTTTATTATTAACTAATTAATTGATCAATTAATAATTAATTAATTAATCAACTAATTAATTAGTTAATCAATTAATTAGATAATATCCAAATACTTAATTAGTCCGTTTATTTATTATTAATTAATTAATTAACTAATTAATTAACTAATTAATAACTAACTAATTAATTAATTAATTAACTAATTATTAGTTAATTAATTAATTAATTATTAATCCGTTAATTAGTTAATTAATTAATTAATAATCAGTTAAAGAATTATTTCATTTTTTGTTTAGTTCTGAATTGTTTACGACGGATGAATTTGCTGGAAAATAAATCGAAATGAAATAAGTCGAATTAAAATTTAAAATAAATAAAATGAGAAAATAAATAATAAAAGAAGTTGAAGAGTTTTATGCAAATATATAATAAAATAAATTAAACAAATGGATAAATAAATCTACGAATAAATAAAACAATTAATTAATTAATTATCTAATTATTTAATTAACTAATAAATTAATTAAATGAATTAAATAATTTAATAATTAATTAAATAGTTAATTAAACAGTGAATTAAATGATGAATTAAATAGTTAATTAAATAATTAATTAAATAATCAATCAAATAATTAATTAAATATATAATTAATTAATTAATTAAAATAAATAAATAGATAAATACGAAGGAGATGTTCTGCTGCTGATGGCCGCAGCAGCAGAGCGAGCTGGGCAGCTAGCGAGAAGCAAAAAAGTGGAAAAGTGAAAAAAATGAATTTTAAAAGAAGAAAAAGAAAAAAAAAGAAGAAAATGAATAAAAATAAATAAAAATAAATAAAATAAATCAAATTAAAACAAAAACGAAGAAATAAAACAAAAAAGAAAAGAAGAATCGCCGAGCTGCTGAGGCTCTGATTCCAATTCGCTGCAGCGCAGAAAGCAGCGCAGAAAACAGACAAATGAACGAGAAATAAATAAATAAATAAATAAATAAATAAATAAATAAATAATATAATAAATAAATAAATAAATAAATAAATAAATAAATAAATAAATAAATAAATAAATAGGCAGCTGGCGTGCTGCAGCGCTCAGTCTCTTGGGGTGTCTGTACACCTGGGGGGTTGTCGAAGGAGCCGCT